AAATTTTAATACCATAATAATAATCATTTTTACTAACCCCAACCCTATTATTATTGAGTACATACTGTACTGTATAATAAAAAATTTTATTATATATATATATATATATACTGTTTTATTTTATATTATTATTATTATTGAATACACTAGTATTATTGTAATCGTAATATATTTCTTGATTGATTTGTTAATTTTTATAATTTAAATAATAAAATAAAATATTTAATATATACACTACCGCTCAAAAGTGTGGGATCAGTAAGACGTGTAATGTTTTTAACGAAGTCTCTTCTGCTCATCAAGGCTGCATTTATTTGATCAAAAATACAGAAAAAAACTGTAATCTTGCAAAATGTTATTACAATATAAAATAATGGTTTCTATTTTAATATACTTTAAAATATAATTTATTTCTGTGATGCAAAGCTGAATTTCCATCATCATTACTCCAGTATAAAGTGTCACATGATCCTTAAGAAATCATCCTAATATGTAGATTTTTTGGGGGGGAAAAAATACTTTCCTCCGTTTTTGTCCTTAGCTGATCACATGCTTGTTTTATGCTCTGGCTAGTTTGTTGTATGGTTTGGATGTCACTTCTCAAGCTTTCTTTGGGGTTTTCGTCCAGGTTAAGGAGGAGCTGTTGGTGGAGGCTCTTACCAAGAGGAAAACGGTGACAGTGAACGACAAGCTGATTCTGCCCTACAGCCACAGCGAGGTGCGCTAGAGCCGTCCGCTTTCATACGCCGCTGTTAGCAGAGCGCCCAGGTGTTTTGTAACTAAGCGAGTGTCGTTTTGTGCAGGCAATCACCGCACGAGACTCAATGGCCAAGTCACTGTACAGCGCCCTGTTCGACTGGATCGTCCTGCGCATCAATCACGCGCTGCTTAATAAGAAAGACATGGAGGAGTCCGTTTCGGTAAGATGCTTGAAACTGCAACAATCAGAGTCTGCATTAAGGATGTTCAAGGTCTTACAGTCATGTGGTTTCTCCATTATTTCAGTGTTTATCTATTGGTGTGCTTGATATCTTCGGGTTTGAAGACTTTGAGACCAACAGCTTTGAACAATTCTGCATCAACTATGCCAACGAGCAGCTTCAGTATTACTTCAACCAGCACATTTTTAAACTTGAACAGGTTAGTGGGCTGGTTTGCATGGTCACAACCTTCAAAAGTCTCCATTTTATGGCAGTTTGATCACAATATGTGGTTCGTCTGCCTGCAGGAGGAGTATCAGGCCGAGGGCATCACCTGGCACAACATCGACTACACCGATAACGTGGGCTGTATTCACCTCATCAGCAAGAAGCCCACTGGACTCCTCTATTTACTTGATGAGGAGAGCAAGTAAGAATTGGTTCATTGCTCTCTGAACTTTTTTGGAAAGATAAGCACCAATTTTTGTGCTGATGTACATTTCTTTCTTCATAGCTTTCCTCACGCCACTGATAAAACCTTGCTGGCCAAGTTCAAACAGCAGCACCAACAGAACCATTACTTTGTGCCAACTCCAGTGATGGAACCAGCCTTCGTCATCCTCCATTTTGCTGGGAAGGTCAAATACCAGATAAAGGTAATAGCAACTGAGAATATATATATATTTTTTAATTATTATATTATATATGAATAATTAATATTTAAATGTCTTTAAAACAAAAGACACCTGTTTTGTAGCATGACCCTGCTAGTATTCCATTTGTGCATGTAAATTGCCTCCAACAGGATTTCCGTGAGAAGAACACGGATCACATGCGTCCGGATATCGTGGCTCTCTTGCGAAGCAGCGACCGAGCTTATGTCCGGCAGCTGATTGGGATGGACCCGGGGGCGATGTTCCGATGGGGAATCATCCGCGCCACCATCCGCGCATTGGCCGCCTTCAACGAGGCCGGCCGCCGCTGGGCAGCCAAGACTGCGGGTAACCCATGGAGCATTATGCATTACTTTCAGATTAGTCCAAAACTTTGGATTTTCAGAGACTAAGAAGGTGTTATTTATAGCTTGCATGTAAGAAAGCTGCCTGGTGACGCAAACAGTCTTATTTAGAAGGATTTCAGAATGATTCAACTAAGAAGGGATAATAAAAATAAGTGAGTAAGGTTGTTTGCGAGACATTTTGGGTGGGGTGTTGAAATCACACCGTCAACGCTGTTTGTGTTTGTGTGTTGACATACAGGTGTGGTCAGACCGAACTCCAGAGTTCCTCTAGGAGAGCTGCAGAGATCCAACGTTCCCATTGAGAGGATGTACCGGTAAGCTTTGGACTAGAAAAGAGGGAGAGAGGGAGAGGAAGTGTTGTGAGGAACTTGATCTCTTCCTGTCCTTTCGTTGCCTTTGTGTGGCAGGTGATCATGTGACCGTGCTCTCTCCACAAAGGCACATTGCAGGCCGATTTCTCACAGTAATCTCATGCGCTCGGTCCCATTTATGCCAATACAAAATATAACAACAGCATCTATAATGAAAAACATGACCAGGTCATATTTCATCTCAAAATCCAAAGAAAAAAAAAGGAAATATCAACATAATAAAATAGCATCATAATAAGTAGACTTAAATAAACATTTATTTATTTAAATACCACTATATTAATCATTTCATGTGACTCACAATCAATTGTAGACAATACAACAAATCCAATTTAAAATGAAAATTGGGTGGGATGTGCTTAATTGTCACGAAAATATCATAGTATCGTTGTTTCATGGTCTGTGTATTTTATGCAAAATGTAATTTCTTACATTTTTTATTTTTATTTTGTGGTGACATGACCAGGACATTGCGTCTATGAGAGATTAGAAAGAATGATCACGTTCATAAATCTAGTTGTTCCTGCAATGTCCCTGTGCTTTTCCTCTGGTGTTTGTCAAGGGTTTCCCCTCAGTTACTGACCTGTGATCAGTTTCACTAAAGTTGAACCCGTACGGTCAATAAAGCTGGTCATAGATCAGCACCTGCTGGTCCCGTTCGCCCTCGAGTGACTGTGTGTGTGTGGTGTTTATTTTCTGCAGCCATGCTCCTATGCTTGATTTCTCCTTTGATCATTCAGAGGAGCGCCCTCTAGAGGCTTTTGAGGACATCTTTGCTAGTTATGAGAGTAAGAAGTAAGTGGACTTGAGCAGAACATTGAGGTCAGACAGGGAGAGCTTGGCGGCTTGGGAAGGCTGGGTTTCCGGTATTCTGAGCAAACTCAAATACCACATTCAGATCTTCGCAGAATCCAGAAGCTAGCGCTTTTCTCTCTTTATGTGATCAAAGGGCAAGCCAGAGTTTGTATATAACCTGGTTTGTTCAAAGAAATCCGCAATCCACAACATGCACTCATAAATCCCAGTTGGGACCTTGTGAGGTTTATTACCTCTAAGTACTCCCAAGTGGGAAGGAAACCATAAAGAGTCCTTTTATGGAGTTTATTATGGAAGCGAGTTCGCTTCCTGGTTTGTTGACGCGCTATTAGCAGTGCGTTCCCAGCCCCCAGTGCCAATCCTACCTGTTTAACCTCCTGTTGTTCTGATCCGAGTGGTAAGTGAACCAATGCATGAGTCCAGGCCTTTGCTGAGTGGGGTGCGGACCCCTGTTTTAACACCCCGTCAGGTCAAAACCAGAGTAACAACAGCATGGATTCACCACTGAAGCTTGAAGGAATAGATCACCAAATTAAAGACCTTTCCGAATTTAACACACTTGCCTGCATTTGTTCATTGTACGTGATTCCTTTTTGTGGTGGAGGGTGTTTCCTTGGCCAAAAGTCGGTTAACAACATTGGTGTTGGGTTCCTGTACTTTCCCTTCCCCGTTCAACTTACCTCACTCCCTCTGTCTCCTCCCCCTACCTTTTCACCGGGCTGAATCAGGGACATGCATGCCCAAATCATCAACTCCATTAAGGACTTGCAGTTGGATGGAGAAGATCCACGTAAGCTGCTGCAGTCCTGGGGTCGCCTGCGGTTCCCGCGCCACGTCCTCCAGTGAGTTTGACCGCTGACTCCCATCTGGCTCGGAATGGATGGGTCCACCTTGCCGACCCTTCATGCCTTGACATCATCGGTTCGCATCGAAGCCAATGCTTGAGGCCCTTTGCTAAGCTTAGTTCTGAAACGTTCCCTACTCCCAAACTTTGCCAAATATGCACTGTTATTTATCGGCTCGCCCTGTGATTTACTGTTTAACCCCAACCGCCCTTTTAACCCTGCACTAATAATATCCATCTAACACGTATGCCAATTTATTTTTAGATGGCGCCCCAGTGGTGTATGTTAGAGGAATGCAGAGTTTATGAGCTGAAAGCAGTGTAATCTTCATTAGCGCGTGCTCTCAGAATGGTATCCACATGCTAGCATGCTGCATGAACTTATACGAGACCAACCCATTGAGTCTGTAATGTTTTATGAGCTTCAGAATCATTGCTTATAAAGACCACAGACATCGAATACACTTGAATTATAAACTTGTCCTCTTATAACTGTCGTTCACCCTAAAGTAGGAATGCCGTAGATTAGTTCTGTCAATAAAAATGTCCATCATTCCTCCCTTCCATGATGTTTTTATCTCCCCCGAAACCATCTTCTCTGTTATGGTGTCTTCATGCTAGATTTAACCCCAGAGAACTCTGGGAATCCATGCATTTCAATGGGGATGTTAGACAAATGACTGGAAACAAATGTAGACCCAGCTTTTTCCACACCATTCCGTAAACAAATCTTGTGCGGCGTTCTCCGTAAAATGTTTCTCATTGCACAGGTTTCCTTACTCGCGTTGCACAAGCCAAAGCATGACTCACTCTACTAACACGTCGTATCACTTCACTTCTTATCTCAACAAACCATCAACCCTCCTCTTCCTCCTTCCCTACAGGAAAAACAAGAACCCCAAGACCAGGCAACTCATTCCCAAGGTAAAGCTCTCGCTTGCTGAAATGATCTAATTGCATATTTAAATGAATGCTGTCTAGGGGTTTGTTTGACTTTCAAGATGCTGCTTACGGTATTGGTAGCGTCAGTTTGTTATGTTTAACGTCAACATGGTCAAGATAGTTGGATTAAAAGATGCAAATCAACCCTGCCTTTGCACAAATGTTGGCATTCAAACAGAAAACCATAGCCTACACTTTTTAGAAACTCAAAGATAGCTTAATTTATAATTCTTGTGTCCTGCTTAGACACTGTGCAATTGTAGGGTGTTTAAGGTTCCAGGCCAAATTTCAGCTGGGTGTGTTAATATAGAGTTACCACCATAAAAGCATGTAACCAGGGTAATTTGAACAAGGACAGTTATTCAGTGATATCTTTGGTTGTAGCAACATTTTAAGTGTGGCAATCTAAAAAAAAATCATAAAGCACCTTTAACTTGTTAGCATTTGCAGCTGGTACATTTCCATCACCAATGTGTGAAAGTGTAAGGTTTATGACTTTCCGTTACATGTGTGGTGCTGGGTAAATGTTTTGAAGACTCTACCGCTGTAGCTCTGGCTGGAATGAGATTTTCCATGCCGTCATGTATCCATGGCATTCATATATATCTTTCTGTGTGAGAGATTGACTTTCTGTTTTTGTGTGTTTGGGCAGAACCTGTTGGACACTCGCTCACTGAAATTTGTAGTGGGCCTCCATGACCGCACCACCAAGTCTTTACTTCATCTGCACAAGAAGAAACGTCCTCCCAGCATCAGTGCCCAGTTTCAAGTAAAAAAAAAAAAAACTATATTAGATTAGCATGGCTGTTCGAACTAATGAAACTAATATTTCAAATTTTAGGATCAGAGAATGCTAAGAATATTATCCTCCAGTGGATCTAATGGGCCAAAGGCATCATTTGTGGTTTTCAACTTGTCTTCCTCTCAATATTATGATCTTTCTCCATATTGCAGACGTCTCTTAGTAAGCTTCTGGAAACGCTGGGGAGGGCGGAACCATTCTTCATCCGATGCCTCCGCTCTAATGCTGAGAAGGTGCAAATGAAATGTCCTTGTTCACCCTATTCAAGTTGATCTTGATTTTAAGTCCATTTTATTTACTTTTCATGTACATTCCTGGTCTTATTTTGAATGGTTCATCTGTGCACAACAGTTTTTATATATTAATAAAAAAAAATTTTTTTGTATATCTTTGACATTCAGAAGGAAATGTGTTTTGATGAGGCGCTCATTGTCCAGCAGCTGCGGTACACGGGAATGTTGGAAACAGTGCGCATAAGACGGTCAGGCTATGGAGCCAAATACACCTTTCAGGTAACCCATATATTTGACCTAGTGATTGGAACAAAAAATTAAACTAAGTGTATAACTTGCTTGTCCGAAAAACAAAAACAAAGCTGGTTTTCTGAATTACAGGAGTTTACGGAGCAGTTTCGTGTGTTGCTACCAAAGAATGCTGTGTCCCTGGAGGACATGTCATCTCTATTGCACAGGCTTGGCTTTCACCACACTACCTACCAGATTGGGAAAACCAAGGTCAGCATTTTTCCTAGGAACCCTAAAGGGTTTAATTGACAACTTTTCTAGTTTTGGAATTTTAACTTCATGTCTGGCATTGTTTCTTTTCTACAGGTGTATCTCAAAGAACTCGAAAGGCAAAAGCTTCAGGACATCCTCCACAAGGATGTTATGCTCAAAATCATTTTCTTGCAGCATTGGTTTAGAGCTAAAATAGAGAGGATGGAATTTGTTGGAATGAGAGAGGCAGCCATCTTGATCCAGGTATATCAAAATTGGTTTTGTGTTTGGGCAGTATTCTTGCAGTTGTCTTGTGTTTGGCCAGTCTGCACTTGTCTGATATTTGATTGGATTTGTCTGCAGCGCTCATGGCGTAGGTTCCGCAAAGAGAAGTTCTACCAAGCGGCGGTTTTGATCCAATCAGCATGGCGAGGTTCCAAACAGAGAGCTGAATATCAAAAAACACGAGCATCCGTCACAAAGATGCAGGCACTTGCAAGAGGACATTCGGCTCGCAAATGGTATAGACCTCAGACAAGTCAACACAAATTTGAAATTAAATGTATTTACTTTCTTAATACACAATCTTGGCTTATCGAGCATGATTTTGTAAGTTTTGGATTTGGACTTGTTAGGTACTACTCACTAAAGGAAGAAAATAGGAAAAGAGAGGAAGAGGAAGCTCTGAGAAGAAAAGCGGAGGAGGAAGCAGCTCGACGAGCTAAGGAAGCAGAAGAGGCCACTAGGCAAGCTAAAGAGGCTGAGGAGGCAGCCAGACGACTACGAGAGGAAGAAGAGGCAGCCAGGCATGCCAGAGAGGAAGAGGAAGCAGCTAGAAGACAGAAAGAGCAAGAGGAAAGGGCAGCTCTGCTTGCTTTAGAGGATAAGACGCTACTACAACAACCACCAGCACCAGGCAAGCAGTCTGACGATGTGGAGACACTAGTGCTGGAGCGCAATAAGGCTCCTGTGGATGTTGAGATTGAAAGTAAGGGCAGGGCCCAAGTTGATGTCTCAAAAGACCAAAGTAATTCTGAGAAGGTTCCACAAGTGGAGGCTGGTCCTCACCCTGAGGTTAAAGAACACCAGAAGCAAAAGGAAAATGAATCTTCTGCACATCCCAGAGAGGAAGGTACACAAGCTAAACCCACATCTCCTGAAATTCCAAGTGGACAAAGCCAAAACAGAGCTCCTCCACTCTCAAAGCTGCCAGTATCCAGAAGTCAGGAGAAACGGGAGCTTAGGAGACAACGGGGCCTAGAGCACAACCAGAGAGAAAGTGAGCGAGCAGCTTCAACCGGAAACGACGATACTTCCTTCAAGAGCAAAACTCTAGAGAGACCAGGGAAAGTAGACAGCAAGTTGAACGAGCGGTCTGACAGCAAAGAGTTGGATCAATACACCTTTGTGGCTTGGAAAATAGACAAGGTGAAGAGGGATGCCAAAGATGTCCCACCTGAATTTGTTCGACCTTCCACCTTACCTTTAGATACCCCTACTTCAGGACCTGGAAGAAACGGCTACACAGACCCGTCCATTGCCGCTCAACCTGCTCTTGCCAAAGAAGAGGCCAACAGGAAAAAAGAACCAACAAGAAGCAGCACTCAGCCAGAAAACCTCATGGCAGGACCCCGCAGTCTGGAGGACAGGAACATCAAAACTCTCCAGTATGGTTTCTTATCTTCTCCTTCTTGTATATCTTTCTTCATCTCCTTATATGATTCTGACAATATCTTCTATCTGGTTTTCCCAACGTTACCAGGAATCGCGGGATCTCTATGTCACTAGACGATGTGTCCAAAATAGGTTTGGGTGGTTCATCACAGGTAATGTTGACTTGATTTAACTAGTTAACACAATGGTAAACATGAAGGAATACATTGATTTTTGAGCCTTGAAGTTTATGTTTGACTGGTTAAAGGGGTCGTATGATGTTGCTAAAAAGAACATTATTTTGTTTATTTGGTGTAATGCAATGTTTACGCGGTTTAAGGTTAAAAAAACCCATTATTTTCCACAATCTGTACATTATTGTTGCTCCTCAATGCTCCGCCTTTCTCAAACGCGTGGATTTTTTCAAAGCTCATCGTTCTGAAAAGCGCTGTGTACTCAGATTGACCGGCTATCCAGTGCGTTGTGATTAGCCGATTACCTCAAGCGTGTGACGGAAATGTTATGCCCCTAACCAGGTTCAAGAAACTTTCCTCCATAAAATGCACTGCACACGCTCGAATATTTTGGTTGTACTGTTCTGGAACAGTGTTGTAAATAAAACTTAACCACTGATTTCTAGTTGTATCCTCTTTTGGAAGGCAAAACAAAGTAGTTTGGCTTTCGCAACGAAACAGCGTCTGGTGGAGGTGGCAAAAACAATACTACAGCGAGAATAAAAGTTACGCCTTCTTTATTTGCGTATACATTTGGGCGCCGTTATGCAAATCTTCCCACACAGTGACGTAGATATGTGGGAGCGTGTTAGAACAAGCCATTTTAGGAAGGCGTGGCTGAGCCTTTTTATAAAGAATATCTCTTTGGGTTTGAGACTTTAATCTTTGCGACTTTACGGATCTTCTGTATGCAGGAACAGCTCTTAACACTACAAAGACAAAGGAAAACATGAAAGCACATCATATGACCCCTTTAAGTTCTACTGTAAGCTTCCCATTTGTATGCAACCAGACAATCTGCTGTTCTCATTACATTTGGTAAATAAGGATTATAATTTAAACAATCGCTTGAGTTTAAGTGATCATGCTTCTCTGGCTGATTCAGGGCAAAGCTCGTCAAAGATGCAGGCCACGGCTCGCCCTTGCACGTATATGTTTGCCCATTAAAAGTGTTGAACTGGAGGATGCAGAGTACTGGACTTATGCTTTGCCCCCCACGAGTCCATTAGAGGTGGTATATTACAGCCTGAAATTAGATGCTGTCCTGGGATCTGTGGTGTGGGGCTGCTGGTGGATTAACCGCTTGGAATCCTGGTGGATTAACTTGTGCTAAGGAAAAATAAATTATACTGGTGCAGAGTGAAGGCCTTTAGTCTGTTTGTTATCCAGTATGCACAGTTTTCAGACACTTTTGCAAAATTTCAAATACTGTGCTGTACTGACCTATTGTCATGCCAACACAGTACAGTAGAGCTTGATCTTATTGGCTAAAACTTCCTTCATTGTGAATTCTGAAAGCTCAATGGCCTTTAAAACTGGACTTTAGGGATAACAAACTGAAATCTCAAAATGCAATGTTAGACAATTTCAGACTCTGGTTTATTTCTTTCCAACAATTCTTGACACTTTTTCCAAGTAAATAATCGTCGTACTTTTTAATTACTCAGTTTGGGATTAATAAAGTGAAGCATTTACCCACTTTAGCTTCCTTTAAGGTGTTATCTACACAGGAAGAAGGAATTTTCTCCTTGACAGTGTGACAGGCTACTCATTATGCCATTATCTAATCAGCAGAAACGGTTATGTTACTGTACACTATACTGTGCTGCATAAAACTAAGACATTTGCTGTGCTCATAAACTTTTGTGTAGACACAGTCCAGCACTGAGGTTGGTCCTGAAAGAGCGAAGGTCAGCACATTGAAGGAAAAAGTTCATGACAGCCACAGCCTGCAAGATGTATCACCTGTCCAGCCGTCGACCCCAGAGAGGTACAGTCCCACCTACCAGTATTATCAGTTTAGCTACCTTCTGGTGTTGTCAAACCGTTGCTTAGCCAAGACAGAACAGATTGTAGAAGAGAGCAGTTTAATCTAAGATCCTCTGCAGCATCCCTTGAGAATGTTATGTTAAATGCATTGTCTTATGACTTGCATTTTGACCCATTTCTCAATGCAACAATATGTGAAATTGAGCATGGCTACAGATATTTCACATATTTGCGTAGACTGTTTCATGCCTTTGCTTTATCTGCAAGACTGTCTTTCTCAAAAGTAAAGAGCGTTTTGACTCATCCAAAAAATGCACATTCTTATCTGTATTAGAATGTGGTCACACAGCAAATCTGACTCACTGGTACTTGTGGGAAAATACGGCCCCTGGCTTACCTCAGCAGTGCCGACTCATACGTCTGACTCCTGGCATAGGTTACAGACTCCCTTATATAGATACAAAGCATCTGCAATGAGAAAAGGGAGAATCCTGAAATTTCATAATCTGTGTGGAGGTGTGCGATCTCAATGTTTTGATAGTGAAATCCTTTGCCTAATGGGACCTCCCAGCATGCTGTTAGGATATTATTAATAATAAAATGCAAAACTTGCTGCAACTAACTTTATGCAATGGTGCATTTTTGTTCAACAGGACAACAGGGTTTTTCAGAAAGATTCTGAAGAAGCGTCCCCATAAAGAAGCTCAGACCCCGGAAGATGGAGACCTGAGCCTAGCTTCCTTTTTGGATCAAAAAGAAGGTACATTCTGCAAAGACAGCATCCGATTCTTTTAGATCATCATACTTTTCCTCCATTTATTGTTTTTTTGTGTTTTTTAATAGCAACTTCTCCATCACGCTCACACAATTCAAAGCCTCATGCGAGTCGACCCGCTCGGACGGCCAGCATCATGATCAGTCACTCAACAACTCGGGCCTCTGAGCAGTGCAACTCCTCGCTGAACCGTGTGATCACCAATGCGAATGAGCTACGCCACCTTGACGAATTCCTGGGCAATCAGGTCTAAAGAATAGATAGGACTGCAAGATGTTTAACTTTTTTTAGTTGATTGTGTGGTTATGCATAGTTGTGCAATCAATTGATGAGTGATTGAAGAGTGTTAAGTCGTGTTTATAATGTATACTATTTCTGACAAGCTTTGCATTCTCTCAGACTTATTCTTTCTCTTGTGTGTTGTAGGTGAATGATCTGCGCTCAAGGGGAAAGCAGCTTTCAGGAACAGAACACATCTTCATTACTGCCACTATGCAGTTCAGAGAAAACATCAAGGGGATGTACTCATTCTCTGTGAGTAGAGCTAATACAACACTCCCTAAAACTACAACCCAAACACTACAGTATAGACCAAATATGCCATGTCCTATCTGTGATGCCATAACACTAACTTGTTGGTTTGCTAAGTCAAGATGAATTATGGGCATTAAAAGAAACTTGTAGTTCAGGTTATTAATTTCTTCTTCTTCACCAACAGAAGCCACAAATTGGGTATAAGGCTTTGATGAAGAGCTACCACAATAAAGTGATCAGTCTAGCTGGAGAAAAGCAGAAAGGTGAGGTACCACTGGTGGTCAATCTCTTCCAGTCAGTTCTGGACGGCTTCATTAGAGCGGAGATCAAAAAAGAAGAGGCCGAACCAGCCAAGGTGAAAGTTCATGCATGGCCTGTTACCCTCTAGACTTTCATTATCTGATTTAAATGGTAGTTGTTATTTATCATTTGAATGCTTGTTATCCTTTTGACTTACCTTGGATAAACTCTGTCTCAGCCCCCCAAAGGTCATAAGATGAGAAGGAAGAAGGATAAGGGCGTAAGTATCCTTTCATATTGACTCTGCTTTGTGAATTGTGAAGAAATCTAAGCATTTTGTCTGAATTTAGTTGGAGAATCCATTGGACCATGTGTTTACGCACTACCAAGTCAACATTATGCAGTCTTGTGATCAGTGCACCTCCTACATCTGGGGTATGGAGAAGGCCTACATGTGCAGTTGTGAGTATCTCTGATACGTGCCCTATGGATTTGCCTTCATTCAGGCTGAGAACATTGTATGATGAGTAATTTCTGTTTCAGATTGCAAAATGGTTTGCCATAAGAAGTGCATTTGTAAAATTGTCATAGACTGCTCTGCTTTCTGCTCTAAGAAGGTAAGAATCCAATCTTCTAAGCATTTTGGAGAAGCAGTCATTTCGAAATCTTGTTCAATTGGTCGACCTTTGTGTGCTGTGGGTCTAGTGTGATGATGAACCAGGATCACAGCACTTTGGTGTTCGTGTGTGCCACCTGGTCAACAACAAGACCCCTGTGCCAATTGTTCTGGAGATAATGCTGGAACACGTGGAAATGAATGGCCTGTACACCGAGGGCATTTACAGGAAGTCCGGCTCAGCCAATCGCATGAAGGAGCTACACCAGCTGTTGGAAGCAGGTGAGGTATCATGGATATTACCAGAACTCAATGGCACATTGGGAAGACGACCTCTCTGTAGTCTCACAGAGTCATATTGGGGACTTTTTGTAGCTTATCCTGCACACTCTGATAACTCTGTTAAATAACCATGTTTAATGACTGCATGTTTGTTTAGGCCCAGAGAATGTTTATCTTGAGGATTACCCCATCCATGCTGTCACTGGCCTGGTCAAACAGTGGCTAAGGGAGTTGCCTGAACCTCTTATGACATTCACGCACTACAACGACTTCCTCCGTGCAATAGGTTGGTCCCCACAACACCCTTCTGCTGTCCTTTTGGTAGCCCTTAGACATGCTGTAACTCTTTTGTTGTCTTTCATAGAACTGCCTGAGAAGCAAGAGCAATTGCAAGCCATTTACAAAGTTTTGGAACAGCTTCCAGCGGCCAACTTCAACACCTTGGAGAGACTCGTTTTCCATCTTGTCAGGTACAGATGAGTACATGCAGTCCGTAACAAATGCTGTTGATGCAAAACCATGTAGCCATCAAGTTAACGATCTGGTGTCACTTCAGGGTTGCAAAGGAGGAGAAGAGCAATCGGATGACGCCAAACTCTCTGGCCATTGTTTTTGCCCCTTGCATTCTCCGTTGTCCGGACAGCGCCGACCCGCTCATGAGTATGAAAGACATCGCCAAAACCACCATGTAAGGGCTTCATATCCACACTGCAAGTTAGAGAGTGTTGTTAAGAACAATGTGTTGTTTTAAAGTGAATGAAGTCTCAAGACTGAAACTTTACTTTGCTCAGTTGTGTGGAGATTCTACTTAACGAACAAATCCGGAGATACAATGAGAGAATGGAGGAGATCGAGCATCTGGAATACGCTGAGGCACTGGCTGTCAATCAACTCAAGCTAAAAAGACAAAACACGGTACACTCAACCTACCTGTCCTTTAGCAGAAAGTCTTCTAGCATTGCTGTATCATTATTGGAAAGTGGTTTGTTTCCAGGTGCCTGTGAAAAATGTCCATATTTTGCCCCCTGAACAATCAACAGTCCGCAACTTTCCACAAGGCACCTACAGAGTAATTTTCACTACACTTTTTTTGCTTCTCGTTTTTATGTCTCTGTAGTGCTGGCATTTACCTCTCAGATTTATCACTCCTTACAAAGAAGTGGCGGTACGTATGTCCCTGTGGTATTGTGAACCACAGTAGTTTGGCATGTTCATGCATGCAGTGTACAAGTCATGCCTTACTAATACTAACTCAAACCACTGCATGTGTTAGTGTTATTTTAGATCTGTAGACATTTAGACCTGTAGACAAGGGTGTCGGGTGGATGTCGGTGTAGATGTGTGCTGGTTTTGGGTGGTCATTGCAGTGAATGGCATGAATTTCAAAGCTACGCAAAGTAAATTGCTGAATATTAAGCAATAGGGGCATTCTGTGATGTTTTTTTGTTTGTATGAACACAGACTATAATGCAGAAAGATAAGCAGTCAGGCTTGACTGTTAACCTTTGTATTTGATTTCTACAAACCTTTGAAACTCATGCCATGGCAACTTACAGACTTTAATTGTGTTTAGTTCCGCAATGAAATATAACATCCATCCAAGTGGTTGAAATTCTTTCCCTGTAGACCTTTTCTCTTCCTCAAGACTTGACTCACCTTTCTCACATTTCTAGCACTCCTCAGTTTCACTCCACAAGGGATCGTTGTGCCACACTTGAAGAATTACAACTTCCCCCTTTTTACTTCATAGACTAACCACATGGGGGCAGACTTGAGTCCAATGAAAATGTTTACTGTAGTCCCTTCACTGAAGAACCTCCTGTCTTTCTGTGTTTCCTTTTTTTTGTGGCAACATGGGAAAAAGCTTGGATCTGTCGATCTCCTTGAGTTGAAGTTTGTATCTGTTTGGACTCTAGGTTCGGGAGAAGCCAGCTTCCGACCTTTGTGCTGTACCTGAGAATGAGCCCCTGGATTCAGATACAGAAGTTGAGCGAAGTCTGATGGAGCAGATCGAGTCCATCAAGCAAGAAAAGTATGTAAATGTAGAAGAAATCTCACAAGTACTCTTGCATGACTCTTGAACGCCTTTTTCTGGTTTATGTTCCAGAGAGGACCTTGCCTGCAGGCTACCTGAACTAGAACAGCCCGGTTCTGACCAGGAGAACCTGGACTCGGAGGCATCTGTCAGCTCTGAGAGCCTTTTGGACGAGCGAGCGGTCTGTTCAGACACGGAAGGTCAGTATTAAGGTACAGACTCCCTTTGTTTTGGACCAGTCCTTTGTTTTTCCTCTGCAGTAGTCACCCATGTGTGGGTCCTGTCCTTGTTGTGTGTGGTGCAGGTCTGGACGGGATGCTCCTGGCGCATTTAAAGAGGGTGGCGGTGCCATCCGCTCTGTAGCAGGTTGTGATCCCATCTAACCCAAATGTTTGTTATGTGCATGTTTGCGGTGATGGAATAAGACACTGCATGTTGCCTTTCTTTTACGACTGTTGGTGGCATGTCTTGGGTTCTGCTTTGGGCTTTCTTCTGCTTTTGGGGTTGATTGGTTCTGTTTCCCTGTTGTAGGACAAACAATCGTAGTGCCAAGATTATCCAAACCAGCTTGCCTTCCTAAGCCTGTCGCGCTGGCCCAAGGAGGCAGCACAGGGGCTGACAGCTGCTCTCTTCCTTCACTGTCTTCTCCCAGGCTTCAGCTCCAGCGTCGCTGCCCTATCATCCCCAAAACGGTCAAGTTGACCCCAGGAGTCCTGTGCCACCCGGCTGCACAGTCCCTCCCTCCCCGCAAAGCCCAGTCCCTCACCCTCGTCCAGCGGCGCGAGCAACCCGGCCGCCGCAAAGACAGCATCCAGTCTCTCTACATCGCCGCTGGAACAGAGCTCCTCTTCCCGTTCTCACCTACAGCCTCAGACACCTCCAGCGCACAGGAGCTCCAGACCTCCTCAAGACGTTTCTCAGACCCGGACATTGCTTTCGTAAAGGACAAGGTTTGAGTTGCAAAGCTGCCTGCTCTCGAAAGAACAATTCGTAGTGATTGATAAAGAGAATTGTCTCACCTAGCACTTTTCCATACTAATAATATATTGGATTTTTAAAGAGACTTTTTTTAAGACTCAGATTTTTGTGGCATTTAGGCGTTGACATGCGTCAATGCTTGATGCTTGATTTTTTTTTTTTTTTAGCATCAAGAAAACAGTCTTGAACCTTTGTGTCTTTAATGAAGAGGAAAAAAAGAATTCAATCATGAGGAGTGATCCCTCGGTGGTGTTTTGAGGACAGAGTTATTTGTACACCCAAGGCTTCGTTCATCTTAAATGGACTTTAAAGCTGTAGATCCTCCTTCAATTCCTGCACAAGAACTCAATGGACAAGTTTTGTCTAGAAGGGGGAAGGATGCAGCACTAGCCACTTTCCTCTTGGACCAGAATGCCATAACCGAATGCAATTTTCCGGAATAACTCTGAACATTTTTTTTTTTTCATTTTGATAAACAATAGGAGACTATAGCTTTGTGTAGGACTAAATACAGTTAGTGGCCAAGCCATTGTGTTTAATACTAAAGTGAAGAGTTACGAATGCTATTGAATGAAAAGTATGGAAAGAATGCCGGCTGGATGTCTATGATGTAAATTACGTTTTGCATCACGAGGACTGAATGTGCCTACAAGTATCGCTGTTTTTGAGTCCTCAGTGATGTTTTTTGCATTTAATGGAGAAATGAAACTAATTATTTTCCTACAATACAGTTTGTACTGGCCGCAGACCTGTGTGCTTTTCCTGATTCTTACCCATAATTCTTTGTGGCTTCCCTTTTGCTCCGGAGATACCACTGACCATCTACTCTTGCTCTTCTTGTTCTACAATAAGAACGTCCAGAAAGGCCTTTTCAAATAAAATGCAGAATGAATCCAGATAAAGGAATTAGTAGGTGCAGAGTCCTTCCCAGCCTTGTTCCTGTACCATGGCCTCTTATTTGATCTGCTGTGTATTTGATTTATAGTCGTTCTGTGGGGGGGAAAAAATAAAACTATTAGTTAATATGCGGTGACCAAAATATGTGCATTTTCTGGCATGCAAAATATATAACACTGTAGAACATGTTGGACTATTTAGAACTACTGTGATGATTACAAGCACACAGAAACTCAAAATGTATAATATTAGGAGTTATTACAACACCCCTTTGACCAACAGTTGTGTACTGTGATCAATTCCCAGAGCTGGGACAAAACAGAGGTACGTTCCTCCATCAGAGAGCTGAAGATCGGTGAGTTTGAGAAAGACACGGCCCCTCTTTAGCTCCTCAGGTAAAACTTCTGCTCTGTTCTTGTACGCTGGGTCCTGTTCCTTTTATAGAAACTTTTTTGGGAAACTGGGTTTGTCCCTATTTTACCCAGCACTGGGTTGTATTTAACCCAACATTTTTTAGAGTGTAGAGTTACGTAACTTTAATTATTGACTATTACTGTGAGGTCCAAAAGTTTCAGTCAGCATTGAAAATCAGATTTGTTGTTAATATCAAATCTAAGAAAATGAGTGCTGTTGATTGTGACTCTTTGTACAGAGTCAGAAAGTCATTGAAGATGCTCAGTTTCATGTATCTATTCTATCATCCCCAAAACGGTCAAGTTGACCCCAGGAGTCCTGTGCCACCCGGCTGCACAGTCCCTCCCTCCCCGCAAAGCCCAGTCCCTCACCCTCGTCCAGCGGCGCGAGCAACCCGGCCGCCGCAAAGACAGCATCCAGTCTCTCTACATCGCCGCTGGAACAGAGCTCCTCTTCCCGTTCTCACCTACAGCCTCAGACACCTCCAGCGCACAGGAGCTCCAGACCTCCTCAAGACGTTTCTCAGACCCGGACATTGCTTTCGTAAAGGACAAGGTTTGAGTTGCAAAGCTGCCTGCTCTCGAAAGAACAATTCGTAGTGATTGATAAAGAGAATTGTCTCACCTAGCACTTTTCCATACTAATAATATATTGGATTTTTAAAGAGACTTTTTTTAAGACTCAGATTTTTGTGGCATTTAGGCGTTGACATGCGTCAATGCTTGATGCTTGATTTTTTTTTTTTTTTAGCATCAAGAAAACAGTCTTGAACCTTTGTGTCTTTAATGAAGAGGAAAAAAAGAATTCAATCATGAGGAGTGATCCCTCGGTGGTGTTTTGAGGACAGAGTTATTTGTACACCCAAGGCTTCGTTCATCTTAAATGGACTTTAAAGCTGTAGATCCTCCTTCAATTCCTGCACAAGAACTCAATGGACAAGTTTTGTCTAGAAGGGGGAAGGATGCAGCACTAGCCACTTTCCTCTTGGACCAGAATGCCATAACCGAATGCAATTTTCCGGAATAACTCTGAACATTTTTTTTTTTTCATTTTGATAAACAATAGGAGACTATAGCTTTGTGTAGGACTAAATACAGTTAGTGGCCAAGCCATTGTGTTTAATACTAAAGTGAAGAGTTACGAATGCTATTGAATGAAAAGTATGGAAAGAATGCCGGCTGGATGTCTATGATGTAAATTACGTTTTGCATCACGAGGACTGAATGTGCCTACAAGTATCGCTGTTTTTGAGTCCTCAGTGATGTTTTTTGCATTTAATGGAGAAATGAAACTAATTATTTTCCTACAATACAGTTTGTACTGGCCGCAGACCTGTGTGCTTTTCCTGATTCTTACCCATAATTCTTTGTGGCTTCCCTTTTGCTCCGGAGATACCACTGACCATCTACTCTTGCTCTTCTTGTTCTACAATAAGAACGTCCAGAAAGGCCTTTTCAAATAAAATGCAGAATGAATCCAGATAAAGGAATTAGTAGGTGCAGAGTCCTTCCCAGCCTTGTTCCTGTACCATGGCCTCTTATTTGATCTGCTGTGTATTTGATTTATAGTCGTTCTGTGGGGGGGAAAAAATAAAACTATTAGTTAATATGCGGTGACCAAAATATGTGCATTTTCTGGCATGCAAAATATATAACACTGTAGAACATGTTGGACTATTTAGAACTACTGTGATGATTACAAGCACACAGAAACTCAAAATGTATAATATTAGGAGTTATTACAACACCCCTTTGACCAACAGTTGTGTACTGTGATCAATTCCCAGAGCTGGGACAAAACAGAGGTACGTTCCTCCATCAGAGAGCTGAAGATCGGTGAGTTTGAGAAAGACACGGCCCCTCTTTAGCTCCTCAGGTAAAACTTCTGCTCTGTTCTTTTACGCTGGGTCCTGTTCCTTTTATAGAAACTTTTCCGTGGATAATATCATAAACATTCCTGGTGTCGTTGTGTCTCCAGTGGACTGTCAGATGTTTTTCTTCAAGTTCAATACGTCTGTGACTGCACTTCAAGATGACAGAGTCTCCTTCAGTGCCTTCAACTACCTGACGCAGAGAGTCTAGAAAACATTACTCTTCTTATACACTCTAAAAAATGCTGGGTTAAATACAACACAGTGCTGGGTAAAATAGGGACAAACCCAGCACTGGGTTATTTTGACCCAGCGGTTGGGTTAAATGTTTAACCCAATTGCTGGGTTTGTCCCTATTTTACCCAGCACTGGGTTGTATTTAACCCAACATTTTTTAGAGTGTAGAGTTACGTAACTTTAATTATTGACTATTACTGTGAGGTCCAAAAGTTTCAGTCAGCATTGAAAATCAGATTTGTTGTTAATATCAAATCTAAGAAAATGAGTGCTGTTGATTGTGACTCTTTGTACAGAGTCAGAAAGTCATTGAAGATGCTCAGTTTCATGTATCTATTTAAACTTGAACTAAAACTGTTTAGCTGATAGTTTGCAATGAAAAATGTAAACAAGCATAAATTACAATGTAAAATAATTTTCACTAGTGATCTCAAACCTTTGGACAGTCTTTGCTCTGTTCTTACCTGAACCTGTTAACAGTACGAACAGCACCTGTAAACCATGAAGAAAAGTTATGCTGGGAGACAAAAACAACAACAAAACGTAGTACTATCCTGTCAGCATGCAACAAAAGTGAAGCTTACTTTCAAATCCATCACATAGTCACTGTTGTCAACTAATTTTTTAAGGGAAGTTGCTAACAGTTTGTTGCTAAATGTCATTGTGCCATTACATAACCATGAAGCAAAACTGTGTAATTGCGTAGAATACACAAATAGACTACTCCAATTGACTGGCCATCTCTTGTTTTCTAAGCATTTATTTTTTATACAAAAAAAATGACTAGACATCTCATCAAAAATATGATTTGAAATAGCCTGTTAATTTAGATTTGTAAAATTAATATAAACACCACATTTTTATGATTTGATATTTTTCTTTTTAAATACAACATTGAATTATTGAACAGTTACACATGTTTGAACAATTACATTTTAATTTCTAACTGATCAACAATTATGAAAAGCGTATAACAGGGTTCGTACAAACTAACGTGAGATAGTTGTAACACACGTGGTTTGAATATTTCCACATGCTAGCATAACAACATTTACAGTATTTATTAGTTACCACATCAACATTATATAGAAAACAAACGTGCGCCAAAATTCTAAAATCTTTTGAAGATATCGCTGAACATTTATTTGACCATAATAAAATTTAAATCGTGGCTTGCGTAAATTTTTCATCTCAGTTTTTATTATTCATTTAAAATGAGACAAATCTGCTATTATTTTAATCTCCAATCTGTTATTTATCAGTTCAGATAGTTTTTTTTAATGCTTTGATTACTATCAGAAGACACTAACTGGTTTTAAATTCCAGTTGCGTAGATGGGGCACGTTGTAACACTGCGTTACAATGTGCTATTCTATGACATTAGCTATGTAATTTACACTATTTACTTTAATACATTTTAATGAGAAACAGGTGAATAAAGACTGACAGTCAATGTTTAATGTTTAGAAATTATTATTTCAAGACATGTAAAGCATTTTTGCTCATTTATGTGGGCCGTCCCAAGCATGATTGCAATGTGTTCGTTGTCAAACTCCAAAATCAGATTATTTTTAATTCTTAAAAAACGCCATTATTTTATTTGAAAAAGATTTTTATTTTATTTTATTAACAAAATATTTTAGTTTGTCTTGTATTTTTTTTTCATGCGATCAGATAACATTTTAAGCTGTCATATGGTCATGTTACAACGTGCCCCTCAGATGTTACAATGTACCCCACCTACGGGGCATGTTGTCACATTCCACTTCCATTTTCACTGTAATTATGAAACAAAGTGACATATTTGTACTAGACAAGTGTAAAATTACTGTGGATAAAAAATTATATTCTGAATCCCATGTGGATTTATACAAACTGAGAAAGTCAAAAAGTGTTACATCATGCAGTTTGAACTGAGAAAGTCATTTTAGCGTCGGTGCGTGTATAAGCCGTAAAAAACAGCATCATCTCTCTTAGAGACAAACGGGTTTTTTAAAAAATCGACCCTTGATTCTCTGTAAAGTGAAAGTCTTGCTTGTTTCACCTCCTCTCATTATTTGTGATGCCTAATACATCACTCTACTTTCTACTCTCATGTTGTAGTTTTGGGTTAGTTTGTCGTCACAGACTTCGAAGCAATTTTAGCCTTGCTTGACTCGTTCGAAACATCTCACCATCACCTCATTTACTCATGTTTTCACACACTGGGGATCATTTCAGCTTTATTCTGAATTTAAGGTTCCTCTATAGACCGTAGTCAGGTAGCGCCATATTTATCTTACTCCGTTTACTTTTTTCTCTCATATAGAACGACCACGACGAAGCCCTGTTTATCCATCTTGATGCAGCCTTCAACACTATCAAACTGAACCTCGCAGATGGATCTCTCCAGGTATCTTCACTAGCAATTTGATAGCTGTGCAATGCAGCATTTCTCCAAGTCGCTCCCTACTTAGGATGAACCGTTTAGGTTGCTTTGGATAAAAGTGTCAGCAAAGTGAATGAATGTAGCTCTAAATGTTCAAACCATCTGTTTGATTTCTGAAAGGAACAGCGAAACGACTCGGTAACTTACTATTTGGCAAATCTCCTTTCTGAATAGACACGTCCCTGTCTGCAGATTTAGTATGCACAGTTATGGTATATCCGTTATGGATAATACTAAAAAAACAGTGGATTTATTCTAAAGTGTGAACGGTTTTGGAGTTTCACGTGTTTCCTACAACCCACGCTGTGTCTCAGTCACACCTTTCACCTGAAGATAATCTATAACCAGCTCCTCCTGTTATCTGTTGAGCCTCACCTGGTGGTTCATACCCAGCTAACAGGGAACATTCTCAGAACTTTATGTTCTGGCAAGTTCCTCTCAAAGTGTTCTTCCAGTAACAATAATAGAATGTTCATTCAAAGTTATCTGGTCTTTAATAACATTATCTACGCATTATTCATGGAACGTTTTTCTGAAACATTCGATTTATTAGTTATCATTTGTCTTGACACTTTATTTAACATTTCAAACATTTAGAGTTTACATTTAAAAGTTACATTTGCCTAACGCTTGCAAAATTATAAAATGTAACGTTTTCTCTAACATTCTCATAATTAAGAAACTTTTTTTTTTTTTAAGATTTAAAAGAAAATGTATTTTAAACACTCAAAATGGTTCAAAGAATATTCAAAAGTAACATTTGCTTAATGTTTGCTAAATTATCAAATGTAATGTTTTCCCTAACATTCTCATAACCAAGGGAAAAAAATGCTTTTTAAAGGTCCCATATTGTACACCTTTCTGGAGATTTATTTGAGGTTTTGATGTCCTTAAGAATATATATTTGCGGTATAAGTACCAAAAACCATCTCAATATATTTTTACAGCTCCTCTCTCAGGAGCTCTGCTGAGAACAGGTCGATTTTGGCCTGTCTAATTAATATTCATGAGCCTCTCTTCTGATTGGCCTGTTGTGTTCTGTTGTGTGACGCACGGCCAGGCCAACCACAGGTAACTAGGGTCAGCGACGTCACAGCGCTAGCTGGAGGCAGCAAAACAAAGGGGAAACTGGAGGCGGCCCATTCAAACCAGCGCAGATTCTGCTACATAAGGAGCTTAAAATATCATCTTGTTGTGATGCTGGGTGCCAGAATTGACGTAATACGTAATAGGTTAAACGCGATAAAACGAGCAGACTGGACAGAAACGATCGTCAATAATGCTTGCGTTTGCAGCGCACACTTCTTATCAGAAAAGGTTCAATAAAGTATTGTCTTTTGTTGTTATGGGCGCGTCTGCAGATTTCTTGCCATATGTCTATGTTTCTTGCATCTCACGATTATGTCGTGTATGAAATAATGTCTGTGTGCAGGTGTATAAAACAACAAGCTGAAGATTTATATATAATCATTTGTAATTGTATATACATTGTTGTGATTAATTGTGGCTGGAACAATAATGTAGCTGTAAAAATAGTTGCCTGCTGAAATTGAAATGTATATACATCTTCATCATGACTAGATAGACACGGTGAGTTTGTCTTTACTATACATGTTAGATGTGATCACCTCATAGTAACAATCCTGTCAGATCGTCCATGCTTTGAGTGAGAGTGTAACGTTACAGGTCGGCCGATCTGGTTTCGTGGTTAAAGTTAAACTTTTCGACATGTTTCCGCAATGTTGTCTGGGGGTTTGGCTAAAGGAGAGTGGGATGGGGGGCGGTGCTCGGGGTGGTGACTGAAGGCGGTGACTGTGTAGTTCTGACGTCAACTTTTTACGGAAGTCAAAACGGTTCGTGAAAAATCACAGCTACTTTATGCAGGCTGTGTGCATTTTACTGTGGACTGACTGTTTTGAAACGTATATGGTAGTTAAATAGCCCCTAGACCTCACTTGTCGTGAAAAAAAGCCAGGAAATTTCAGTTTTGACAATATGGGACCTTTAAGCATAAAAAAAATGGACGTTTTAAATGTTCAGAGAACATTCACAAATAAACTTCAGAATGTTTCAGAAAACATTCAAAAGTTACATTTGCATAATGTTTGCTAAATTTTAAAATGGAACGTTATCTTAAAGGGATAGTTCACTCAAAAATGAATTTGCTGGTTGCCACTGACTTCCATAGTATTTTTTTCCCCATTCTATGGAAGACAATGGCTACTGGCAACTGTTTGGTTCCCTACATTCTTCAAAATATTGTCTTTTGTGTTCAACAGAATAAAGAAATGCATACAGGTTTGGAACAACATGAGGATGAGTAAATATGACAGAATTTTTATTTTGGGCTGAACTACCCCTTTAATATTCTCCTAACAAAGAAAAATGGAATTTGTAAACATTCAGAGAACATTAAAAAAAGGTTTTTCATAACTTAATTTGGACGTTTTTGGCAGATTTTGCCCCGCCAGTTTTGATTTTATGCTGTTTCTGAGCTAATCAGCTTCAAAACAACATGATTAATATGCTGTTGTAATATGCTTAACTTGACAATAATCAGAAATATTAACAACTTATTACCACACAATATCTTACCGTTTAGCTCCATAGCTAGCAAAGGAACTGCACCTGTTTTAAACAAAATCACAGACTTCATTAAAGAACACCATTTTATCTGTCTAGTAAGGTACACACATTTGTCTTCTGAAAACAAACACAGACAACTATCTCTATGAATGTGGATTTAGACAAACACAAACACAGAGAGATTCAGTAATACAGTATCTTGCCATTGTTGGCCTGAACTACTCCTTAACAATCATCACATGATTTAAATGTAATTTTGTCATCTATAACTACGTATAATATGAATACTTTAGCGTGTACTTTTTTGTAATGATATTTGAGAATAAAGCCACATCAAACACATAAACTCGAGAGTAAGTACACATACGTTAAATTGTACCTTAACTTTATTTAGCTTAATAAGCACTCCATCAGGTTGGTCTGTATAAACAATGACTTATTATAAATAAACTGATAACTTCTTGCACAACTATATTTTGTAAAATTTGCTGTAGGTAACACGTACTACCTGGGTCTGCTTGTTTAGGCGTCTTGCGCTGACAGTAATAGTAAATGCCACACAAAACTGCAGCCACAGCCAAAGCACAAACACAAACCAGTGCTATATGAGCTGCGGACAAACCTGGTGCTATAAAGGAAAGAGAGAGACCATATCAATGTAGTATTAAAGTGCTTAAACGTGACCAACCAACATAAGTTCTATGAAAATTTGCTAATAGCTGCCGTACCTGAACATGTGTGACAGAGTTGAGTGATGTCCAGATGTTGAGTCTGGTTGCTGATGGGATTGTTGAGCACACAGCTGTAGGTGTTGTTATCCTGATATTCCACCTCCAGAGGTAGAGAGAGACTGATACTGAGATCAGACACACTGATGCTGGACAATAAACTGTTTCCTTTGTACCAGGAGAGAGTCACATGACCCACATTCACCACTGAACACAACAATGAACATGATGATGAAGATGATGATGATGAAGAACAGTCTCTGCTGATGACAGGAACGGGCAGACGAGCTGGAAAGCACGAGAGAATAAGGTCTATATTGGATCCATACTGCAATGCAATGAAATCAAACCGAATGCATCTAGAAAATGACTCACCAGAAACAATAATGCTGAATTTTTTGGGTGTGACTTCTTTTCCTTCAACGATCTGTAAAAACCCATAGAGTCCAGCGTGTTCAGGTGTGATGTCTGTGATGGTCAGAGATCCAGTTTGATGATCCACCTTCAGTATGTCTCTGAATCTCCCGTCAAGAACATCATCATATAATGAGATCCTATTGGCCATTCTGTTTATTTGAGCTATTCGAGTGCTGTCAGATCCAAACGTCCACAGTATCAGATCAGCTTTCTGTATTTCAGTAACGTCAGTATATAAAGTGACAGAATCTCCCTCCGTCACTGACACAGACTGTATTTCATCCATAACACCAAACAAACCTGCCAAACAGAGACCGTTTGAGAGATTTAAGGTTAATACTGTCAGAATTGATGATGCTTTTGTCATTTCTTCTTGCAGCTTTCTTCTCTATTCAGCCTTATTGACAAAGAGCGGTGTGTGGATATCAAACCTTCACATGTTCAAGAATATTTTGTGAACACGGGAACAACAAAATGAAAGGTGGCCAGGTAAGTCACTGAATACCGAGTAATGTTAATAATGCAGTAGTGAATATTGGACAGACAAACATTTTTGGACTTTATGCTCTACAAAACAGATCTAAATATTAACTCAGAAACTGGAAATTCTATTAAAAGAGTTTAAATAATATGTATTTTACCAATATTCCATCATATTCAAATCAATTTAAAATATTTCGAAAAAAATTGTAAAGTGAATGTCTCAAAAGCCATTTAAATCTACTCACCGTCCACGATTATCAGAACGAAAACTAAAACAAACGTCTCCATATTTCTGTAAAAGATCAGTAAAAGTTGTCCATTGTAGTTGTTCAACTGTTCCTTTGAGTCTCAAAGCGTTCGACCAGTTTCTAAACGAGCTAAACCGCAAGTGACAGAGCCGATTGCATAATTTCACATTCACACGTGATTTTCTCATATTTTAACCGACTTCAGATCAGTAGGTGGCGTTTATACTAGTGAAACGTTAAAAGTTCTTGACTTAAATGCTGAGAAATCTCTAAATCTGATCAAAATAAGTAAGTAAATTCATGAACTTGTCATAGAGAACCCAGCAGAGCTGCAGGCAGCGCTAACTATCAGACGCGTTGACGGTGAATGGGTGTTAGAAAGTGTGTGAACCACACCAGTAGGTTAAAGTTCAAGGTATTGCTCAAATATCATACTAAGGCAATTAGTCCTAGGTTTACAGCACTTGACATAGACGCAACACAATTAATTTCATATGACAAGAATTTTTATTATTAAAAAGTTATATAAAAACGTTCATATTTTGTTGTTAATGAAGCTGAAATTGGACTTTCAGAGCAAAATTGTCGTCTCTTATTCACATGACAACTGTTTGAAACAGTGCAACCTTTTAGATTGTCCACTAGAGAGCAGAAAACGTTCAAATATCATTGTTTCGTTCATTGACACAGAGCAAAATATTAAACCGAACACTATAAAATATAACAGACATGCAAATATACATAAACCTGCATAACAAACCAGGTCAGAGTAAATGGTAACGGGTTATATCGACTGTAACATAACAAAAAGTTAGTGTAAAGTCAAAAGAAACCCTTGGTTTTCACAGGTTATCAGCATGCAGCGTTCATTTCAAACACATTTTCACCAGTTTTAAAGGCTCCTAAAAGCAGAAGTTGTTATTCTAAATAAGGATCATGTGACAGTCACTACAGACAAGTGTTTTCAGTAATCTCTCAATTCATCAATGGTTTTTGCCATCTCTGGCACGTTCTCTTCGTTTTCTGAGGAATCTGTAATCAATCAATCAATCAAAATCAAAACATTGGAAGATTATTGTTTGATTAATTGGACATTTCCGATCATCTAACTTGTTCAGTGTTGATGGATCTTTATTCGAAATGATTTGAGCTTCTCACCTCAAGACGATAAATGGTTTGGAGATCGTATTTTGTCCATTCCTGGAGATATTTAGTTTATGAATTACAAAGTCTGTGGGTCTGATGCCACTGATTGTGAGAAATCCATTTTGTTGATCCAGCTGTACTCTGAATGTCTCATCATGAACAGTGCCATCAAAATGGTTTGGTTCATTCAGTTTGGCGATGACAGTGAATGGGTTTATGCTGTCTGTGTTTAATTCTCCAAATCTCCACTGCAGCACATCAAAACTTCGTATTGCAGTGAAAATTCACCATCTCCCACCATCTTCATTTCATCTGTGTCAGCCAAAGCTTCAATTTCTTTTTGTGCAATAAAAATGTTTTAATAGCTTTATATACTTGTTAAAATCTTTGTTTGCAATACATATAAATAGCATGAAAATATTTAACAATTGCAGCTGATTCGATTCTCAGAAGCTACTTAACCATTTATTTTTCCACCACTTTTTTGTCCAGTCCAACTGATATTTCCAGCCAAAGAATAAGACAAACGATTGACACTAAAATTAAATTGAAAAAATTAACTTAAATATCTTTCTATGTTGTTTTTCCAGGACACCTTGCGAATGCAAGGAAATGCAAAGGAAAAAGCATCAAATATAATAAAAAAAATCAACAAAACAGTGAACCAATCAGAAGACCCAGAGGTGGGGCAAGCGTTGGCAAGTTGGTGTGGCAACTTTTTTTGTTTTACGGAAACATGGCAGAGGTTCTGTGCTGCGCTTTTTAAAAAAAGCATTCCCGAGCGCTGCATCTCACATTTTTAGACGCAAAGACACGTTATGTGTAAACGGCCCCTAAGAGGGGCCCCTATTTCACATAAATGAACATGACCAACAGAGAACATCTAAGTAAATAAATGTTAAGATATCCACGCTGCCGTACCTGCACATGTGTGACAGAGTTGAGTGATGTCCAGATGTTGAGTCTGGTTGCTGATGGGATTGTTGAGCACACAGCTGTAGGTGTTTTTATCCTGATATTCCACCTCCAGAGGTAGAGAGAGACTGATGCTGAGATCAGACACACTGATGCTGGACAATAAACTGTTTCCTTTGTACCAGGAGAGAGTCACATGACTCACATTCACCACTGAACACACCAGTGAACAATTCTGCTGTGATGATGATGATGAAGATGATGAAGAACAGTTTGAAGAGTCACTGCTGATGACAGGAACAGGCAGACGAGCTGAAAA